CATGGCTGCCAAGAACTGTTGAGTAAGAATGTAACTGCAGGCATTCATTTCCTTGCTGTTTGTCTGACAACTCACTGTCTCACAGCTGGAAAACTCATTACTCACAAATACTTCTTTCCCAGGTACAAGAACATAGAGATGTATTTAAGCAACACTTTTCAGAGCAATAGAAGTTAGCTATTAACCCCAAAATGTACTCAAATATTAAGTTTAAATACTGGAGAAAATCTAAATATTAAAGAGAATCTAAAAATGCATACCAGTCAAATATTTCTTTCATTAATCATTCATTTAAAAAACTGAAACACGATTCATATAACATAGAATTTCACACACCAGATCATAAAAATTCTCGGTTTTAAAGTGTACAATTCAGTGGTTTTAGTACATTCACAAAGTTGTGCAGCTTTCACCACTATCCAATTCCAGAACATTTCCATCAACCCACAAAGAACCCCTGTACCCGTTAGCAGACACTCCCAATTCTTTCCTTCCCGCAGTCCCTGGCAACCACTAATCTACTTTCTGTCTCTATGGATTTGTTTCTTCTGGACATTTCATATAAATGGAGACAGACAATACGTGGCCTTTTGTGTCTGGTTTCTTTTACATAGCATGTTGTTTTCAAAATTCATCCATGTCATAGCATGTAGCAACACTTCATTCCTTTTTAGGGTGAATAATATTCCATGGAATGGACATATCACACTGTTTATCCATCATTCTTTCATTAAACATTTTTTTAATTGTGACAAAATTTACCATGTTACCATTTTTTAAGCACACAGTTCAGTGGTATTAAGTATGTTTATATTGTTGTGCAACCATCACCAGAACTCTTCTCATCTTGCAAAATTGAAACTCTGTACCTGTTAAACATTAATTCTCCAGTCCTCTCCCACCAGCTCCTGGCAAGTATTATTCAACTTTGACTACTTTAGGTACCTAATATAAGTGAAGTCATACAATATTTGTGTGTGTGTGTGTGTGTGTGTGTGTGTGTGTGTGTGACTGGCTTATTTCACTTACCATTAATGCCCTCAAGTTTTATTTGTGTTGTAGCGTATGTCAGAATTTCTTACTTTTTAAGATTGAATAAGAGTCCATTGTATATACACGCCACATTTTGTTTTATCTATTCATCTGTTAATGGAAACTTGGGTTGTTTCCTTCTTTTGGCTATTGTGAATAATGCTGTCATGAACACGGGTGTACAGATATCTCTTCGAGACCCTGCTTTCAATTTTTTTTGAGTATATACCCAGAAGTGGCATTGCTAGATCATATGGTAACGTTTATTTTTAATCGACATGTTTAGTTTTTTGAGGAACCGCCATACTGTTTTTTCATAGAGGCTTCATCATTTACATTCCCACCAACAGTGCATAAGGGGTCCAATTTCTCCCCATCCTCATTAACACTTGTTTATTTTATGTTTTAAAGGAAGCATATATTTTTTAAACACGTGACACTTTATTTCTTAGAAACTAAGGCTGCCAAGATGTTAAGTCTCAGTCTCCTTGCTCTCAGGAAGTTGGGGCACAATGGAGGCAAACTGTCACATACAGGAGACAGATTAACATGTGAGGTGTTAGGTGCATAATAGAGATGGAATATAGCTCTATGTAAATACGGAGAAGGAAATGAGGAATTATTTGGGGTAGGTTTTACAAAGGTCTTGACATTCAAGTTGGGTATTAAAAGGTAAGTGGGAAGGGGTCAGCTGGAAAAGGAAGGGTATTCTAAGCCGACAGAGCAGCACACAGTAGCCAACATCCAAGATGGCCTCCAGGTTCCAATTATTCTCACCTCCTGGCAGTTGTGCTCTTGTATAATCCTCCCATTATGCATTGGGACATTGAATAGTTCAGACCCATAAAACCAATAGGATATTGTGTGTGACTTCTGAGCATATATTATAGAAGAACTTGTGCTTTCTTGCCATTGTGCCCTCTTGGATCTCTCACTCTGGGGAGAGTCAGATACCATGTCATGAGGACCATCAAGATGCTTTCTGGAGGGTCCTAAGTGATGAGGCACTGGAACCTACTGCCACCCTGTCAGCATGAGAGTATCAGCATCGATTAGTCTGCCATGTGAGGAAGCCATCATGGAAGCCTATCCTCCATCCCCATCAAGCCTTCAGATGACGGTAGCCCTGGGCAACATCTGACTACACTCAGCCAAAACTGCTCACCCAACTGCTCATGATTTCCTGACCAAAACCATCCAAAAGCCAAAAACCGATGGGAGAAAATAGGTATTTATTGTTTAAGCCACCAAGTTTTGAAATAATTTGTTACACAGCATGCGATTACTCATCGAACTAGAAGCATGAAAATGAATACAGAGCTAGAAGCATGAAAAGATCTGGCATACAGGCATACCTCAGCTATATTTCAGGTTTGGTTCCAGACCACCACAATACAGTGAGTTGTAATCTTTTTGCTGCTGGAGGGTCTTGCTTTCAATTTGTAAAAAATGCGACATTTGTGAAGCGCGATAAAGCGAAGCTTAATGGTATGCCTGTACTGTGGAAATAGTGACATGGGAGACCACAGCCAGGAACCTCAAGGTCTGTGTGAGCGTGTGCGAGGGAGCCATCTGGTGGAGGAAGTTGTGCTTAGGCATCCCCTTCTCTCTTCCTACTCCTGTTTCTTCAGCTTGTTTTGCCCAGCATTTTCCCTTTAGTATTTCTCCAAGGGCCACGGTGAGGTTTATGAGTCAATTATGTGGGCTATACACACTCTTGCTATAGTTAAGGTGTTATCCCTCTTTTACTATTTTATTTTCTCCCTTAGTTTCTTTCACCTGTCTGCTATCCGGGGGAAAGTATCAGTGGCACTAGGATTTGAGGCAAAGAGTGAAAACTCAGAACGCCGGAGAAGGGAAAGAAGGAACTATGAGAACTTGATTATAAAAAATCCGAGTCAGACCTCATAAAGTGGAGTCTAGCTGACTAGTCTCTAATTACCAGGGGGAGCCTTTGTTCATTGATGTTGGCCACGACTTTGTCCCTTTCTGGTCTGTAGAGGCTTCTTCTATCCTCCAGTGATCCCTCAAATAATATCTAAGAGTTCTTGAATAATATCCCTCAATTCTATAGTCGCCAGAAGAGAGAACCAATAATACTACTAGCTACAGCCAGCCCGAGGCCAGTGATCCAGGCAAATTCGAGGATGAGGGACTGCAAGGAAACTGAAATTTACCTTTGGAGTAAATTACTGATGGTGGAATTTCAGATAGTTAAGATATTGAAGAAAAAAATTTCTTCATTCTAGAGGAAGTTCTATACTTCTTCTCATTCTGAAGAGAAGAGTCAGAGTCTCTCAGACAAGCCTGGGCCAGCCACAAAGCCAAGCCCATTTCTTTAAAAAGTAGGGGGATTTCTGAATATAATTAGTAGTATACGGTAGTCCTCCCTTATCCACAGTTTTACATGGAAAATTCCAGAAATAAACGATTCATATGTTTTAAGTTGTGTGTTGTTCTAAGTAGCATGATGAAATCTTGCGCTGTTTCGCTCTGTCCTGCCAGGGATGTGAATCATCTTACAGTCCAGCCTTTCAACATTGTATATGCATGTACCGGCCCATTAGTCACTTGGTCGTCTTGGTTATCAAATCAACTGTTACGGTATCGCAGTGCTCGTGTAAAATCAAGAAACCTTGATTTTACCTAATAATGGCCCCAAAGTGCAAGAACAGTGATGCTGGCCATTTGGATGTGCCAAAGAGAAGCTAAGCTGTAAAGTGCTTCCTTTAAGTGAAAAGATGAGTACAGTACAATAAGAGACTTTGAAAGCACAAGAGACCACATTTACATAACTTTTAGTACAGTTTATTTATAATTGTTCTATTTTATTATGTTATTGCTGTTAATCTCTTACTGTGCCTGATTTATAAATTAAACTTTATCATAGGTGGGTATGTATAGGAAAAAACATAGTATATATAAAGTTCGTTACTATTCACTGGGGTTTCAGGCATCCACTGGGGGTTTTGAAACATATTCCCCTCTATAAGTGGGGGGACTACTGTATGTGAAATTGTATTTGTCTACATTCTGGCCGTTTGGAAGGGGGACATCCGGCTGGGGCAATCAGGGAAGGGGTACAGACATTTGACTCCTGCTTAGATGAATAGTTTGGATTTGCATCAAAGCAGGGGGAAGGGCATTTCTTGCTAAGCTCACAGCCCAAGCAAAGCAATGCACAAGCAATGGAGGGGTTCAGCTGGCTGAAGTTAAGAGACTCCTGAAGTGAAGTAGCAGGGAATAAGGCAAGTCAATGCAGACTAACATGACTGTGGTATAATTGGGGTGTTAGGAGTCAGATGACACATTAGGTTCAAAACGAGTTTCTGGTTGCATACTGGCTGAGTGGCATTGAAGAAGTTCCTTAACATGTCTCACATTCCTCATCTGTAAAATGGTGATAACCCTAATAGGGTTGTTGGAGGAGGACTAGATAAGAAAATGCCTATAGAGAGCTTGGTCCAGTGCCTGGTGGTTGATAAACCCTCAGTAAATAAGCGCTGGCGTTATTCTTAATGCAAAGCCATCGGAATCGTGCTGTAAGGGAGATTAACCAAGAATCACAGTGAGAAGTGGATTGAGTTGGGAAAGGCTTGCACAGGCCTCTGTACACAGTAGCTACTCAGAAAACACTGAACAGAATTGCATTCTATTGTTGGCCTACAGGGCATACAGGTGTCTGCCTTTTGTGGGCTCACAGTTCCGAGGAGGGGAGTTGAGTACTAAAGCTGGTGAGGAAGGAAGATACAGACGTAAATTCTTCAGTTTAGCTTTTTGCCAACTGTTCTCTGCTGGAATCTTTCACAGCAAGACGGGGAAAGCGAGGGCCAAGGTCCCAAAACGCTTGCTCCCAGGGCTCCGCAGGATTTTGCGAAAAGGGGTCGCGCGGGGACACAGTTGAGTCAGGGCGGGGCTAAGATGGAAAAAGTGCGCAGGCGCAGGGCTGACAAAAGCGCCTACCTGTGCTGTGCAAGAGTGGGAGGAGCTAAGCTTGGGAGCCGCGCCGGAGGCAGGGCGGGCGCGATGACGTCACGGCACGCCGCCGCAGAGCAATTCGAGGAAGCGGCGGCTGGGAGGAGGAGGAGGTTTTGTGGCCTGCGACTTCCGAGCGGCCCAGGGGAGAAGCGCGCTGTCGGGGTGGGGCGGGCCTGAGGAAACGCTCCGGGGCCCAGCGGCCCTATCAGTTCCCCTTGGCCGTCCTCGCCCCTCCCCCAAACCACTCAGCGACCGCGTAGGTAAGATGCCGCTCCCTCCCATCCCATCGTTTCCGCGGAGTTGGGCACCTGGACGCAGTGGAGGCCTCCACCTGCTGGCCCAGCGATCTCGCGCTTGGCCTTCCCTGCTCTGGGCCGCAGGCCCGCGGCAGGCTGTTAGGGATGCAGACATCGTGGTCCAGGACTCTGCCGGCGCTGACCTACTTCACCTTCTCCTGGACTCCTACTTCGTACTCGCCCTGGGTCCGCTCGTCCTAGTTCCTCTTAGCTCGGCCTGCGGGGATTTAGGGCTTCCGGTGGCTCCTTTGTCACTCCCCCTGACCTCCGTTAGATTGCAGCTCACTGCTTGGGACTGGTTTATGTTGCTGTGCGCCGAGGTTCCGCCCCCTTGTTTTCCGCTTAGAGTTTGTGTTGGACTTTGAAATTAGGAAAGAGGATGAGTTTTCTGTGTCTCCCCTGATCAGAGAAGGGCGATGGTAATGGGATGTTATGCAAGGTGTTGACTGCCCCTTGGGGTTCAAGGGGGAAAGGGGACGGATGGTCCAGGGAGTTGGGAACAGAAGGGGGAGGGAAGGGTTAGAGGATGGGGCAGGAAAAAGCACTGAGGTCCTGGAGGATGGGTAATTCATTCATTCATTATGCGCCCACTGGGGGCAGAAACAGTGGTGAGTGAAAGACATAGTCCTTGACTTGGTGGAGCTCAAAGTTAAGAGGGGCAGACTGATAACTAAGCAGGGAGTTTTACTTTGGTGTGATAAATCCCGGTAATGTGAGTAAATGATCTTTTGGGAGCATTGGGAAGAGTCTCCCAGTTAAGACTGGAGGTGTTGTCAAAGACTTCTCTGAACAAGAGAGTGATGTATAAGCCAGATACCTAAAGGATGAGTAGAAATTGACCAGGAGAAGAGTGGGAGAAAAATATTTCAGTATATCATTTCTCTGGAAACCCCATGCCTCCCTTCAACAACCATGTATGCTTGGTCTTTACACTGTCTTTACAGTTTATACTCTTGATGGGTCTGTTGGAAAAAACATTAGATGGAGAGTCAGAAGAGCAGGATTATATATCTGGATAATTCACTTTACCTTGCTGAATGCGTTTCCTCCTCTGTGAAATGGGCATTCCACCTGCAGCCCTGCTTGCCTTACAGGTTTATTTCAGGTGCCATTGAAATATTGCAAGTGGAAGTGTTTTGAGCATTGGAATTATGATGCAAATGACGGGAATTATTGTGGTTACAGGATGCAGACATCAGAGCGTGAGGGGTGTGGGCCAGAGGCGAGCCCCAGCGTGATGCCCGAGGCTTCCCCAGAGTCTCCACCTGCCCCTACCAAGTCTCCGGCGTTTGATCTTTTCAACTTGGTTCTGTCCTATAAGAGGCTTGAGATCTACCTGGAACCCTTGAAGGACGCAGGTGATGGTGTCCGGTACTTGCTCAGGTACAGACTTTGTAGAGTTGCTCTGACCTGCTGGATCTTCTGCCTTATGTAGTTGTGCCTGCACATTTATGCAGTGACTAGGCTGTCTTTTCTGCTATTCCAGGTCCACCCTGTGTCTCAGGCCCAGCCCAGGAGAGGTAGGCACTGGGAACCATCTGGCCTTTCTCCTGAGTTTCTTCTTTGTGGTTGAATAAGCTCAGACCTCAGGACCACTAACTAACCTTGAACATTGGGCCTTCTATATCTGGAGCATGCTTTTTTTTTCTCCTTCTCTCCCAATATTAGCATAATAATATTAAAATTAGGATGTAATTTTCAACGTAAGTTAAATACAAATACCTGTGAAGAAGCAGGTACTATTTTTACTAATACTTTAGAATTATGGGTCTCAATATTTTTTGTTCCTATTTTGCTTCAATTTTCATCCTCCACAATTTTCTTTTTCTCTTTTGAGCTCATTTTATTTCCTATGTTAAAGTATTTTAAATTATAGCTACATGCCATTCCACTCCCTAAATACTTCAGTTTCTAAATAAGGACATTTTTTCATAATCGAAGTAACATTATACCTAACAAAATTAATTTCTTGATATCATCCTATACCCAGTTCATATTCAGATTTCCTCAGTTGTCCCAGGAATGTTATTTACAATTTTTTTGGGCCAAATCAGGTTACAGTCCAGGACTACGCATTCTATTTGGTTTTTATGTCCCTTAAATCTTTCTCAATCTAAAATGATTTCTTCTTTCCTGACACTGACTTGCTGAAGAGACTCAGCTGACTGTCCTGGAGAATTTCCTACCTAGATATATCTGGTGGCTTCCTCGTGGTATGAACTGAAAGTTAGATCTAAAGGTTGGATTAGATTCAAATAAAAAAAAAATTTTAAACAAAGGTCATATGTCCTAACATTGCATCTCATTGGGAGTACATAAAACCTGATTGTCCTAAAGAGCAGACATTCTTAACCTGAAGCCCGTGAATGGGGCCTTAGGGGTCAGTGAATCTCCTGAAACAGAATGAAAAATTGTGTGTGGGCACACGTGTATATTCCTAGGGAGAAGCTTCTAATTTCTATCAGATTCTCATAGAGAACTTCAACCCTCTAAGATCCTTGAGAGAGACAGGTAGGAGAAAGGGAGATTGGAGTTGGGTTAACCTCAAAGGGTGCTATTGAGTTGTCATTCTTACCTCAGTGTGGGAATAGTAGGAGGTTTATTTTTAACTTTCTGACCAAGGCCCTAAATTTGTCTTGTTTTTCCCAGAACCCCTATAATTTATGGCATTATCTCTAGAGATGAGCTAGTCAGTTCTCTACTATTAGATCATTGTGCTCTTGGTGCAAAGGGTGGTGAAATAATATGAGGAGGGGCTCATTTTATAATCCCACCATGACCAACTATCTGAAATGAACTTCAGTCTTCCCTAGGGCCGGGGGTAGGCTCTGGAGAGCATGGGCTGCGCTCTCTGGTGTTTTCTCATGTGTGTGCACATGTAAGTGCAGACTTATGTCTGTCTGTCTGTGTGTCTGTGTTTTCCCTTTTGTGGCAAAGCATAAAAGTTAAATATATCCTGCCCTTCTCCTTTTCCACCACTGGTCTGTTAGTGCTTCTTGACACTAATGTGTTACGGCTTTTCCATTTTATGAAATTAGAAATCTCAGGATGTGGTGGGATTGATTAAAGCTGGATGGAATAGAAGCATTGGGCTTAAAAAGCCCCCAGGAGCTTGTGGTCTTGGACCTCTGGGAGACAGAGCACTGGTCTGTGAAAGTGGCTGTCAGATTAGTTTGTGCATTTGATTGTTCTTTTCTTAGTAAAGAGGATTTGACTTTGATGAGAGACCTAATCTTGAGCTTCGGCTGTTAGGTCTGAAGCCTAGAGCTGCAATAGATTTTTAAAAAGACTCCTCTTTTCTGGGATCAGCTACTCTAGTAGGTGGGTCTCCACATCCAAAGTGTCAGTGAAGACAGGATGGGAGAGGCTTTAAAATGAAAGTGACTTCAGTGGCTGTGTGATACTTCTATTTCCGTAATGGGATTGGCTTTAGAACTGACTTTTAATTTGCTTTTACCCAGGTAGCTGCCACTAGATGGATCAGAGGCCTAATTAAGGTGGTACAGTTGGAGTGTGTTGAATTTTAAGAGAAAGGCAGAGAGGTCATTGCATTTCCTTGCTATAACTTTTATTAAGAAATAAAAGCAGCACATAAATTAGTTAACCTCATTTAGTAACTCTGAAATACCCCAATTAGAGCAAAGGAAAATACATTTTAAGTTTTGAATACATTGCTTGCCAGCAGCTTCCCTGTTTATTTATTTGTCTGTCTGTCTCTCTCTTCTGATGGCTGACCTTAAATACACTGGCACTGCTTTTTAGACTTCATTACTTTCTTATGACATCTGTCTCTCTTTTTCCCCACTAAATGTCTTTTTATCAAGGTCTAGGCCATCAGTGTTTGTCCTCAGCAACCTGCATCTCTGGTCTTTCTTCCTTTGGTGGGGACTTCCGCTTTGCCATCAGGTCATGATGGTGGGGTCTTCCATCTGTTCCAGTTTACTTAGGGCATATTTGCTGAGAGAATGCTACATCCTGGTTTCGTCTTCATTTTTTAATATAATAAAGTAAAGTATTTTTCTTCTTTCGAATTAATGTACATTTAAAACAAACTCAAAACTGCAGAAATAAGAGAGTCACAAAAGGGGTCAAAGAAATTCTTCACATTTTGTTCTCTCGTTTATTGTATTAGATGAATGTTGTGCAATGAATATATATATGTTCTTCTGAAGCTGTAAGAAACAGTATTATTTGTAAATTATATCTCAGTAAAAAAATAAAGGGCAATTTTAAAGAAGAATGTTTGTCATTGTCACCTTTTAAAGAGAATAGAACCTTAGAAAACACAGATTAAACAGTATTAAGTAGGTTTCTTAATAGATAATATTATGAATTTTTCTTCCTTCTTGGAGACAGTTCTACAGGTCGTCTAGTTCTGAGAGGATGCCTTTTCTTACCCTGTGACCTAATGTGTGACCTTAACTCATCTCACTCACCTGTCCAAGTGAGAGGCCCACTTTTCGTTTTTCCTCGACAGTCTGAGCTCCAGGCCCCTCCTCTTGCTCCTGGCTTGATGACCCACCAGGGCTGACTCACCCCACTTCCCAGCTGGAGGAGTGGCCATCTTTAGTGACCAGGACCCTCTGTGTTGCAGGTGGCAGATGCCTTTGTGTTCCTTGCTGACTTGCCTGGGCCTCAACATCTTGTTCCTCACTTTGAATGAGGGTAAGAAGTGCTTCTAGGGGCCAGGGTTTTTTTGTGAATAAACATGGGGAGGAATTTTGAGAAGCAGCCCTGAGTGAAGGAGCTGCTGGTTTTGCCTTGGAGTTGGCCTCCCTATGTGTCTCCTTGATGTCAGAACACAGGCTCTGGAGAGATGCACTCTGGGCTAAAATCCTGGCTGGGCTGCTGGCATTACCTAAGGCCTAATTTTCCTCATCTGTAAAGGGAAGATAATAACAGTGCTTTCCTCAGAGGGTAGTTGTGGGGAATGAGATATTCTGTGTACACTTAATAGTGCCTGACACAGAATAAGCAGCCAATATATTATGGTAGGCCCCCTCATCCACGGTTTTGCTTTCCGTGGTTTCAGTTACCCATGGCCACCCATGGTTCAGAAATATTAAATGGAAAATTTCAGATATAAACAATTCATAAGTTTTACATTGGGTGCTATTCTTAGTAGTGTGATGGAGTCTCTTGCCATCCCGCTATGTCCTGCCTGGGGTGTGAGTCACCCCTTTGTCCAGTGTACCCACACGGTATATGCTACCTGCCCTAGTAGCCGCCTAGGGTTATCAGATCGACCGTTGTGGTATCATAGTGCTTGGGTTCAAGTAACTCTTATTTTACTTAATAATGGCCCCAAAGTACAAGAGTAGCAATACTGGCAATTCAGATATGCTAAAGAGAAGCCTTAAGGAACTTCCTTAAGTGAAAGGTGAAAGTTCTCTACTTAAGAAAAAAATTGTATGCTGAGGTTGCTAAGATCTACAGTAAGAATGAATCTTCTATCCATGAAATTGCCTAATTTATAAACTAAATTTTATCATAGGCATGTACGTGTGGGCCAAAACAGTATATGTCGGGTGCAGTACTCTCTGTGGTTTGAGGCATCCCCTGGGGGTCTTGGATCACATCCTCTGCATATCTGTTATCGTGCTTTTCTTGAGTGAATGCTGATGCGTTGACCTTTTTCCATTTTGGCTTCTGAGCTGATTTGGAGGTCATTTGGGGCATGACATGGAATGAGGGAACCAGGAAGGTGAGCTGGTAGAGATTTTTGCCACATCTGTTGATTTTCTCTGGCTCAGCAGATGAGCCTGGTGGGCATTACTGGGGAGTCACTGCCAGTGAGGAAGACGTGTGGACGGGTGGGTGGCTGTAGGGGTCTCAGGTAGTGATGTCTCCTGGGGACCTTTCATAACAAGATATGCTGTGACCCCGCCCTTTCTCTTGTTGGGACTGGCAGATGGCCACAGAAAAAGTTGAACCCCTCAGGGAAAATGAGTGAAGGACCTGGGACAGAATGTTCTGAGGAGCCGGGTCCTTTCTGCATGTAGTCATTCTTCTGAACTCACGTTTCTCAAGGGCGTTTTGTTTTCTATGGAGATATGGATTCAGTAGGTTGAATATAAACCCATTTCATATAATATCTCATGTTGTTCCTCAGTAGGGCTCTTCTTTACCTGGTGAAAACTCAGATATCATTCCCAGGATGTTTTTATTCAGGTTTTTCTGAATATATTTCCAAAGCAAATCAGTTCACATGACAGATATTTAACAAGCATTTACTCTGTGCCCAGTGCTCTGTCAGCCTTCCTTGGTCGTACCAAAGTTCCTTCTTTGGATTTTCTTTCAGCTTCACTATTTCTCAACCCACAGTGGTCTGGAGTACCCTAAAAGCCAAAGGAGAGGCTTCTAGTCTGCCCCAGTGGCCCAGAGATCAGAATGTCAGTCACTGGGGACTCTTGGCAGCCAGATCCAGGAACGAGCCACCCACTGCAAGCTACCATAGGGTTTTTAATAGTAAAAAAAATGGGCCTGGGGCTATAGCAGTGACCAAATAGGCAAAGTCTCAGCCTTCAAGAGCCTACATTTGTGGAAGAGACAATGGCCATACTTGTAATTTGTCATGTGGTGATAAATTTTTTGAGGTAAAATACAACTGGGTTAAGGGGCTCAAGAGTGAGGGGGTAGATAGTGTTTCCTAGGGGGTGATCAGGGAAGGCCTCTCAGCAGAGCCCTGGAGGAGGTAAGGGAGTGAGCATGTGGACATCTGGGTGGGTGGAGGCTCCTGGTCCTTACCTGCTTACTGACAGTGTTGTTGATCCCATAGGTGCATGGTACTCAGTGGGTGCCCTGGTGATTTCAGTGCCCGCCCTTTTGGGCTACCTGCAGGAGGTTTGCCGGCCCCAGCTACCCGAGTCTGAGCTCACGCGGAGGAGGTATCACAGTGTGAGGCAGGAGGGCCTGCAGAGAGTTCGCTTGTCTCGCCCAGAGGCCGTGGCTGAGGTGAAGAGCTTGTGAGTATGGAAGGGGCCAGGGAGGTGAGGGAAAGTCACAGTAACACCTCCCACCACACTGAGTGTGCCAGGCATTGTATTAGGCAAACTACAGATGTTATTTCCTTTTATCTTTTTAACACTTCTGGGAGGTAGCTACTATTATCTTCATCCATTTATGGACAAGGAAAAGGGCTTATGCCGCTAGAAAGTGCCCGAGCAGGGATGAGAATCCAGATCCAGCTGGTTTCACAGCTTGTGTTCTTTCCACTAGAGAGACAGTTTAGGGTTTTGACTAAGCATGTGCCCGCATGAAGCACTGCCTGGGTTCAAATCCCAGCTGTTACATTTATTGGCTGTATAGCATAGGACGACTTGCTCAGCCTCCCTGTGCCTTGGGTTCTTCATTTGTTAAATGAGATAATAATAGGCTTACCTCATAGGTGGTTGTGGAGATTAAATGAATGTCTAGTACCCAGGAAATGTCCAGTAAATATTAGTCATCGTCACTGCACTATGGAGAAACTTCCTAAATGTGACAGAGGCGGTACTTCTGTGGAAGCACCTTAAGACTGTTGAATAATACTGATGTAACAGCTTCAGTGCCAGCTGCCATTTCCTGAGCCCTCCCTAACCTGGCCTCTCTTGGTATACAGCAGAGGCATCTGTGGAACTTTAAAAAAAAGTTATAAACAAATGGAGGACAGCCCCAGAAAATCTGAGTCAGTTATTTGGAGTAGGGCCTGGGTATCTGCAGTTTTTTAAAAAACCTTTTTACTTTAACATGATTTTAAACTTATAGAAGAGTTGGCAGAATAATACAAAGAACTCTCATATGCCCTTTACTCAGAACAATTATTAACATTTTGCCACATTGGCTGCATCTATCTCTCTACACACATTATTTTTTTCTTCCTGAACCATTTGAAAGTAAGTTGCAAACATTATGCCTGTTTACCCCAAATACTTCAGCATGTATTTCCTAAGAACAAGGACATTCTCTTATAGCCATAGCCCAATAATCAAAATTAGGAAATTTTATGTTGATTGCATTAGTATTAGTACTGTTATCTAATATAGAGTTTATAATCAAACTTTAACAGTTGTATTAATAAGGTCTTTTTTATAAATTTCTTTCTGATCCAGGATCCAATCCAGAATGACACATTTAGTTTTTATGTCTCTTTAGTCTCTTGTAACCTAGAGTAGTCCTCAGTCTTTGTTTCTCATGACCTTGACATTTTTTAATAGAACACACTTCTTATTTTGTATAATTTTCCTCTGTTTGGACTTGTTTGGTTCCTCATGATTAGATTTGAGTTATGCATTTTGGGCAGGAAATGTCAAGTGATGTTATGTCGTTGTCAGTGCATTATGTTAGGAGGTACATGATGTCCGTCTGTCTCATGGGAGATTTTAACTTTGATCCCTTGGTTAAGGTTTCTCCACTATAAAATGATCACTTTACGCTTTAGAGTTAGTAATCTGGCGGGGTATACTTTGAGACTAAGTAAATACATTGATGGGTCTTGCCTTTACCAATTTATTCATAGGATGATTGCAAAGGTGATTTTCTAGTTGTCATTATAAGCTGGCATTCTACTATAATTCTTACTTGTTATTAATATGAACTCAAGATTTTTTATTTAATTCAATGAGTTATAATCCATTACTGTTATTATGTATTTTGATTTCAAATGGTCCTAGATTTGGGCAGTAGGAGCTCTTTTGAACTAGCTCCTGTGTTCTTTCACTATGTCCCATCATGTTTGAGTGCTTCCTTACTTTATGGTACAATAGGATGTTCAAATTCATCTTATACTTTCTCTGCTCTAGCTTTAGAATCAGCCATTTCTCCAAGGATCCTTTCAGAGACCAAAGTCTGGGTACTCATTGCACAAACTTGTGCTCTGCTTTTGGAGTGCATCCATTAAAACAAAACAAAACAACTATCCAAGTGATTTTGCCTTATACCCCAGGTGGAGACATATTGATCTACCTACCTTTTGCCATTTGCCCTCACAGCTCTAGTGTATCTGTGAGGTGAGTACACTGCTCATTTTATAGAGGAAAACTGTTGCCCAGTTAGGTAAAGGCCCCACATCAATAGCTGGAAAGAGACCATTGTCTTCTTTCCACTCAGCAGGGCTTCCAAAAAGGTGACTGAAACTGTCAGGCTCTTTATCTTTTCCAGTGGGTTTGAAGAGACTGGCCATCCCGAGCCAACTGCGCCTCTGGAGTCCTAGGTTCTGCTACCGCAGAGCTCTGTCAGGCCCCTTGGGTGAGCAGGGCAGGGCGTTCTGTTCACAGACGCCCCCTGTGTCCGCAGCTTGATCCAGCTGGAGGCCTTCCTGAGCCGCCTGTGCTGTGCCTGCGAAGCCGCCTACCGTGTGCTGCAGTGGGAGAACCCCACCGTGTCTTCACAGTGAGTGGCCCCCTCAGCTTCCACCACTGCTGCTCTGGAGGAGTTTGCGGCCCCAGGCAAAGCCAGCTGCTTTGAGAGGACCGCTGTGCCCTTAGGTCATGGGAAGAGAGCCCCTAAGGCTCTTGTGTGCAGACATGCACCTGGGCTTGTGGGCACAAATAAACTGCTGTGGTTTGGGTACCTTCTTTTAGGTCTGGCAAAAATATTTTAGTAATAGAAAAATAACTTGCCATGTAATCTCCCACCTTGATAGAGCAGCTGATCTTATGTTTAGATTGACTTCAAGAGTTTATCATATGCATATACTTTATAGCTCCATAGTGTATGCGAGATTTCTTTTTTCTTTTTTACTTATATCATAAATGGTTTTCTTGGTTGCTACATGACTTTTGGAATTATTTGTAATATCACATTAATATAGATGGTGAATATATTATAATTTATAGAATCATTTGGTTATATATTTAGTCAGCTTGTACTTTTTATTACTCACCCTGTAGTGCACATTGTCATCGGTTTAGCTTTAATCTTTTGAAATTTTTTTTTAGCATAAATTCAAGGATGGAACTACTGGATCAAATGGAAGGACTGTTTTTGAGGCTCTTTATAAATAATAGTGACAACTAATATTTATTTAGTTTTCCCCTTTGTTCCAGGCCCTGTGCTCAACACTTTCTGTGTATTGCCTCACTCTTCCTAGTAACCCTAGGAGATGGGCACTATTTTAATCCCCAGTTTACAAAGGAAGGAAGTGTTGCTTGGAGGACCAAGGGACTTGCCTAAGGGCATACAATGAGAAGTGGCAAAGCTGGATTCAAAGCCAAGGCTGTCTTATTCTAGACTTCAGAGTCTAGAGCCTGAGGAATGATGAACACTGAACCAATTTATGTGGCCCCAGCCTCATAGGGCCACCACTGCAGCCTCACCAGAGTCAGTTGTTAGCAAGCAGCCACTTCCTTAGGGTCGTAAATCTTTCCTCCTCACTTTGTTGCCCACTTGTTTGATTAGCTAGACCTTGTTGGTTTATTAACTGTGCTCAGAGCTGTTTTTTGCCCAGACCCATATTGATGTGCTCCAGGTTGGTTTCCTTCTGATTGTGTGAATTTATGATCCTGTGGTTCCTGTCTGTTGATCCAGGTTCTATGGGGCTCTTCTGGGCACGGTTTGCGTGCTGTATCTGCTGCCTCTTTGCTGGGTCCTTGCTCTTTTAAACAGCACGCTCTTTCTGGGAAATGTGGAGTTTTTCCGAGGTAAGTCTTGGAGAGCCTGACAGCTGGGGTCAGGCCAGCTCTGAGGGCTGGTTAGGCTCCTCCTTGTTTATCTGTCTCTGTAGTTGATCGTCTGTTTGCTGGACCTCCCACACGGTGGCAGCACCACACTAGGGTCGTCCCTCAGAGGGCTCTATTGGGCTCTGCCTCTCTGAGATGTTAGGTGGGACACAAGGGAGGTTGCTACTGTATAGGTCCCTCTGCCTTTCTGAAGCAGGTAACTCACTGCTTACATAATATGGTGGCGTCTGGGAGATGAGGGAGGGATGAGGTACTGCCATCTGCCTCTTGGGATACAACCATCTGGAGTTGCTGCCACATCTTCGTGTGATCCCAAAGTCCCCATCAGCCATCTGGCTTCTAAAGCAGTGAGGCAGTCTGGGGAGGTCCTGAGTCACAGACGCCTGGGCCTGTACATTTGTTTGGGTGATTGCTATATTTGTTTTCCTCCCTGTGGTCAGGCAGTTAATTATAGAAGCCCTTATTTAGCAAGCACTTACTACATTTAATCTCTGTATAGTAATCTCAGGGGGTGGGTGGTGGTATCGCTGTTTTGTTTATGAGGCTTAGGTTAGGTGACTTGTTCAGAGTTAGGAGGGCGACTCTTTCCTGCAGCAAAGAATGGGGTGTTAGAGGAAGAGGCAGCCAGACCCAAAATGTCACTCACTCCATCCTGTTTCTGCCTCCCACCCCACTGTCCTCACCCTGGCTAGTGGTGTCAGAGTACAGGGCATCTCTGCAGCGGCGGTTGCATCCCAAGCAGGAAGAGGGTGCCTTCCAGAGCCCACCACCTCCAGATGTTGGGGGGAAGGGCGTTCTGCCAGACTGTACGCCTGCACCCACACCCACAGAGGTAAGCATCCCCCAACTTCAGGGCAGAGCCTGCTATAAGCACCTTCCAGGGTCTTCCTTTTACCAGCTTGTTCATACCCCATAGCTCCTGGACTGGCCTCTTTTGTAGTTCCTGTTTCTTCCTAGGCCTCATCTCCTCTGAAGTGCGTAATAATAATAATTGTAGTAATAATAGCCACTCTGGTTTATTGAGTACTTACTCTGCTATTCCAAGTACTTTATAGATGTTAACCCCACAAAGTGTAGGTTATTTCTGAGGACGAGGTTATTCTCATTTGTGGAGGAGAAGGCTGAGGCACGGAGTAGTTAGGCGAGGGCGGTAGGGCCAGGAGTCTCTTAAGGAGTCTCGAGCCCCTTAACCCGGTTGCCCTGTGGTTCTAGAGCTCGTACTCTCAGCCACTGTGCTGTACAGCCACTGGAGGTCTGTTCATGGTCTTGGTCCCATTTCCCTATCCCTGCTAGGTCAGAGAGTACCCTCTTTCCTGTGACTTTCTTCTTTCTTGCAGTTATGCCATTTCCTCTGAGGCAGGAATAGCTGTTTTGGGAAACCTGGATGCTGGCTCAGGGCAGGTGGCCTCTGCCTTAGCGGGCAGGGCTGCCATCCTCTCCTTCTCTAATAGAGTCTCTCTTCCCAGGACCTCACACCAGGCAGTGTGGAGGAGGCTGAGGAGGCTGAGCCTGATGAAGAGTTTAAAGATGCAATTGAGGTGGGTGGCCCTTACCCAGCACCCTCTGTTGACCAGGCAAGAAGTTGGGTGGTCTTGGAGCCGTGTGGCTTCTCACATCCTAAGTCTGAATTTTAAAAATTCCCTTATATTCAGCCGAGAGGCTGAAACTTGCTTTGAGCTAGAACTCACTGGATGAAAGGATGCCACTGAACTTCTGCCCATCCCGTCGCTGATCTAGTCATCTGTCCTGGTGCCCAGGCAGGGCTGGCTCTGGAAGCCTCCGGAAATGTGCCCTGCCAGGGGAGGCAGATCATTTAGCACCTTGGCTGGAGCTTGGCCCATTTGATGTGGGGAAGGCAGATCTGAGGGAGGGCACTGCCGTGGGTCTCTGACTACTCTTAGGGTGGCTGAGGTCTGAAAGATGTCATTTTAGGGGGCAGGGAGGGAAGGTTGGAGAAAGTGGTTGCATGGCCGAGTGCTAGGTCAGAGAAAGTTAAACAGCCTTCCTGATGTTAAGACAGTGGTCCAAACTGATAGTTTGCAGAAGTGTTTTTTATTTGGCATACAAACCTTTAAAAAACTTTTTTGAGCCAATATTTAAAAATGGAGATTTCAGTGAAAAGTCTGGATTTTCAATTTTTCTGAAAAACCAGAGGCTCTGGAAGCCCCGAGTCTGCAGCAGTCAGTGTAGCTGAAGAGCAACTATCTTTTTTAGAGAAGTCACGTAGTCCCCATCACTCCCCGTCTTTCCTGGTCACTGAGTCCTAGTGGCAGTTGTCACTTATTGTCACATTTGAGCTATTGTTTTCTTATAGTAGGAAATCATTTCTCTTTATGTCTCTTTGTAAAGTGGGAAAGTGAGATGTAAGAAGTGGAGTCTTGTGAGTTTTCTGCCACCAGGCCTGTGATTTTTGCCTCGCCCATTCACTCGTACATCATCTCCATTCACGTAGCCATTTGCGTTTTCAGCTGCTATGAGATTTCTCTGAGACTTTAGTGTACTATTGTAGACTGTGAATCTTGATGGTGGTGGTGGTAGGGAATATATATAATGGCCTTTTAAGCATTTTTGTTCATAACCCACATTAAGGAACACAAGTACATCTTGGCCTCTTTCACACTTAGGTCTGTAATATATGTAAAACTTAATGGAAACAGAAGTTTCTTGAAAAATACATTGAAAGGGACATTTTCTTTTCTATTCTGTTAAAATAATGACTCAATTAGTTAATTTTACCTAGTTTGAATAACAGTAGTACATAGCTTCTCCCAAACTTATTTGATGTTGGCCTCAAATAGGGGGGCCTCTGTTGATGTCGCCCTTTGGGACATGCTCAGATAACTGAGTCATACTTAAGTGTTTCCTTTGCTTACGGGTCCCCTCCTAGCACCTTCTTTTCTGCTATCTCTCTCTGTGTTTTCTTTCCTTCTACCCCGCACCTTGGGAGGCAGGAGACCCACTTGGTGGTGCTGGTAAGTAGGAACCTGGGTGAGGAGGGCCGGGGCTGGGCTAGGGGAGGGTAGCCGAGCTAGCGGTCACCATGCCTTGTGGGGTCTGCCGTGCTGGGGTGCCTCTGCACGCAGGTCCTGGAGCCCTGCCACGAGGTGGGCAGGAATGGAAGGAGCTGTTCCCACAGGAGGATGATGAGGGTGCCCCATGCCCAGCAGAGGATGAGCTGGCCCTACAGGACAACGGGTTCCTGAGCAAGAATGAGGTGTTACGCAGCAAGGTGTCACGGCTCACAGAGCGGCTCCGCAAGCGGTACCCCACCAACAACTTTGGTACGTCCAGAGGACAGGCACGGGGCGGGAGCCATGGCCTTATGGGCAAACTCTTGAAATTGTGAGTACTGGTTTGTGACAACAGCGAGGAGTAAAGCTGTGTCCATGGAACCCTGGAAAATTAGCAAACACACAGCGGAGCTGTTGAGAGAGTGAGCGTGGGTTCTCTCTTGTCTCTGTGTCCTCATTGAGCATTATTAGCTCATGGGAAGATAAGGACCTCAGTTCTGGAAACGTCACCCCAGGACTGCAGAGAGATGTCATCCTGAGGCATGCAGAACCTCAGAAGGCAGTGTGGCATAGTGCCTGAGAACAGAGTGTGGAGTCTGCCTGGTGCAACTTCCGGCTCCACTGGGTGTCTTTGGGCAAATTATTTAACTTGTCTGTACCTCCGTTTCTCCTCTGTAAAAGGAAGATAATAAGTTCTTATCTCACAAGGTTGTTATAGGTCTCAAATGAGATAATAGTAAGTGCTAGCACTGTGCTGGCTGGTTCATAGTAGGCATTTAATAAGAGGCACTGTGAATATGAGAGGCCCTGGTCCATCCTGCAGGCACCTTGGAGCCTGTCTGCAGCTTTCCTATCTAGGTAGAAGCAAGTTGAAGCAAACAGTATCTTCCTCTGGGCATGATAGAGCCCTGAAGTCCCTTCTCCCCAGTGAAGTTCATAGATTGGCCACTCCTTATTTTACTGGGGGCTGGGGGTGTTTCAGGAAGCAAGGCAGCTTTGGAGAAGGGTGGACTTGACTGCCATTAGCACAGCTTGGAATCCTGGCTCAGGTCAAGAGAGTGAGAGTTGAGCCAGGTAGATTTATGGCTGAAGTCTAGAGAGTGGGTGACATGGGAGTCACCCTGGTCCTAAAGAAGAGCCTGCCTTCTGCCTGGTGTCAGCTGGCAGGGAAGAAGACGGGGTGGCTGTACTCTATACTCTGGTGGGAAAGACTTCTAGGGTCTGTGCACTAGGAGAAGCCCCTGGGGGAACTGAGCAGGGGGAGAAAAGGCAGTGTGTCCTGAAGCTGATAATTGCTCTGGCCAGATCATAGGAGTCATTTGGGCCCCAAGTTCTGAAAACTTCCTCCAGTAACCTTATCTCTTCTCAAGTTTTTCTAGGACCCAAATCAGCTTCTTTTTGGCCCCACAGGGCTCTCTGGTCCCCTTTTGGGAGCACCTTCATGCCTACTGTGGACCCTGCCTTTTCTCCCCAGCACAGTTCCCCCTGCCTGCATGGAGTTGTCTGCACTGAACCACAGTACTTCTGGGGGTAGCCCTTAGAACCTTCTTGGCTCTTGTCGAGGTTTGCTTTTGCTCCTGGAGCTTGTTGAAGTCGTAATACCCAGTGTGGCCTGTCTTTTCCTCCTCAGATCTCAGTATGCCTCCATCTTTTTGCTTTTCTTCATTCACCTGCGTGCACCCCCTTCATGTCCTTCCTTGTTGCAGCCCACCTTTTCCATCTTTAATTTTCCTGGCTTGTGGCTGGGAGGTGAGCACAGCTTCTGTTAGGCCTACTTTCCTTGAAATAGCCTCTAAAAGAATGATTTTTTCCCCTCCTTTTCCATCCTTCGTCTCGTCTTACACCGCCCCCCTTACCTCCTGCCAGTCATTTTCTAAACTGCCATTGACTCCTCTGTGATTGTCTGAAGCTTCGTCATCTTGTGTCTGGTTGTTTAGGCAAGATCTCTCTCCCAGTTCTAGCTCACCCCGTTCTGTCTGCCACTCACAGCGCCTGCACCTCTTGCCCTGCACATCTTCTTAGACGGTGTCTGGTTTTGAGCTGTTCTTCTGCAATCTTTAGATGACAGAAAGTAGGGTCTGGGGTTTTAGGAGAAATTTCTCTCTTTACCTGTGGGCGGAGTATTTGTAAGGTGACACTTTGGAAAGGGGTCACGTCAGGCAGGTTTCATTTGAGGTGGTTGGAGGTGCCTCCTCTAGGGGATCCCTGTTGTCAGGTCCCTGCCAGGTTGGTGTGGTTTCTAGGGGGTAGATTCTGCTGGGTGCTTGTCTGTTTTGGCTGGACCTCTAAGGGTGGGTCCTCTCAGCCCCAGGAGGGTATAGTCTGGAGCCATCAGTTCCCTCCTTTGGTCTCTGGATCTGGATTTTACTCTTTAGTGTCCCCATTTAGAAGACCTAGGAGTAGGTGAGAGTTGAGAGGCCTAGGCTGGGTCAAGGCTGAGCTGCTGCCTCTGTTTCTCAGGGAGCTGTACAGGCTGCTCGGCCACCTTCTCGGTGCTGAAGAAGAGGGTAAGTCTCCTTGAGGGTGTCCTGTTGGGTCTCAGTCTTGCCCCACCTGGGCACCTCTCCAGTCCCACAGTAGTCCCAGGTTCTTTGGGTGGGATCAGCTGATGGAAAGAAGAGGGGTGCTGGGGTCTCTATGTGCTCAGGGCTGGGGGATGCATCTGATACTGACCCTGGCTCTCGTCTGCAGCGGAGCTGCAGTAACTGTGGAAACAGCTTCTGCTCCCGGTGCTGCTCCTTCAAGGTACCCAAGTCCTCCATGGGGGCCACAGGTGAGTGGTGCAAGCAGCCCGGAGATCAGGGCAGTGGGAGGGCTTGGCTGGTTCCCACTTCCTCTCAGGAGGTGCTGCCTGAGGATAGGAGTGAGGGGACAGTGAGAGGTCAAAAGAACTTGGGGTCCTAGTCTGGCCCGTGGTAATATCTCTTCCTTCACCCTTTTACAAACAAAAAACTGAAGTATTTGATGCATGCAGAAGAATATATATTATGTAGCTGAATTATGAAGCGTAATAATGAATGCCTGTGACTGCTTCACTGAATTTAAAAAATAGAGCAGCAATAGCCACACCACCGAGGCTCCCCAGCGCCACGCCTGCCTTCCCCAGAGGAGACCATCATCCTGAATTTCATGTTTTTTCTCATTACCTTGGTGATACTTTTACCAAAATAAAAAGAACGTCTTTTCCTTCTATAAAAGCTGTACATACTCATTGTAAACAAAACAAAACAAAATACAGATATTACAAAAGGAAGAACACAAGTGTGCACATAGGGTAAATGCATATGCACATTCTAAAAAGGGTACACGTTTTATGTAGTGCCTTGTAACATGTTACAATGAGAAATCAAGGATTTTTTTTTTTGTTTTTCCTTCTGGTCATGCAAGTGGTATATGCTTATACTAGATACGGAAATTATAGAAGAAGGAGGAAGAGAAAAACAAATTTTGTAATCTTACCATCCAGAGATAACCACTGTTAAAACATTTTGGAAATTTTTCTTCTGATACCTTATTTAAAAAACATTTCTAAAGGTATTCTGTTGGTGGCAAAGTGATTTCTATTGCATGGAACCTGGGAGAGGCCTGCTGCTTCCATGGTCACCCCCAAAGTCTCTGGTTCCCATGAAAAGAGAGGTCTCTGAGGGCAGGCTAGTGAGCCAGGTCTGTGAGGGTGTGGGCCAGGCAGTGGGTGCTCTGCAGGACGTCGGGGATAGGGGAGGTGGTTCTAGTAGTTCGGGTCTTGAGTGAAAGGGCACAAGAAAGCGTCTCACCAAGTTCTTCCTCCTTTTCAGCCCCAGAAGCCCAGAGAGAGACTGTGTTTGTGTGTGCCTCGTGTAACCAGACCTTGAGCAAGTGAGAAGAGGGGAGAGGGTCCAAGCGGGCGCCGGTCCGTGAGCCAGCAGTAGACCCCACTGTCCCCACCCTTAGCCCCATGTGGCGTGTGCTGGGCAAATGTGGCCTGAACTCTAGGTAGGCTTCCCCTTCCTGCCCTTACCATCTCCAGCTGGGTTCTGGAACTGTTCCCCACTCCTGAAGATGGCCAGTAATGACTGCCCTCAAACCCTAGAGGGAAGAGGAGCCCTTCAGAGGCCCTGGCACGTTTGCCTTGCTCTTCCCTGGCCTGTTAGTGGACTCAGGGCTGGGCGGGGAATGTAAGCTAGAGGGCAGCAGTGAACCACGCCTGGTCTGGACTGGGATCTCTGAGAATCAGGACGTCTCTCCACAGCTGGGAATTCTGAGACCGGAGATTCAGAAGTTGGGAAAAGAGATTCATCCTCCCAGTGGGTCCTGGGCCAGCCCCTTGGCCTCTGAGAGTCTGCAGAGTGCTATGCCCAACTCTGCTGTTTGAATGTCCCTCTAGGCATCAGGATCTCGTCATTTCCCCACCAGAGAGTGTGGCCAGGGCTAACAAGACCAAAAGTGCTTCTGGAAACAGGGTTGAAATTCTCAAGTTCCCCCAGAGGAGGACATATCTAGTGGGGCTTGGCAGAATCCTTAGTCTTAACTGGAGCAAAACATAGAGAGCCCCAGCAGCCCAAAGGGTCTCAGCCCTGCCTTATGGAGACCTTGACTTGCGAATTTCAGCCCTCATGTTTCCCTGGTGTCTTCAGCCCTGCTGGATCAATGCCAGGCACTCAGATCACTTCTGTTCCCCCTGTTCAGAGCCTTGGGCTTCTCTCCTCTGGTTCAGAGCTATATTTCCCTTCCCCAGCCCCTCATCCCACAGAGTGTGAGACCAGGTGAGCAGAGCAGAGGTCCCGAAGCCCTTGACCCTTGGCCTGGGAAGTGTAGGATCTCTCTGGGCTGGGTCCTAGATTCCAGGGTTGTTCCCCAGCAGGACAGTCTCAGTTGTGGGATAAGGCCACTTGGGGTCCCCATCCTCTCTCCAACAATTTCATATTTACTTTTAGACTCGGGTTCTGTGCCTCTCTAAGCCATGAGTGGACCCAGGCACCCCTTCTTTCCCCTGGAGCTGCCCTGCCTTTTGAAGTATTTATTTATTTATTGCATGGTTCCTGGGAACATATGGCACAGGGGATGGGCTGAGGAAGATGGGGCTTCTTCGACCCTAGGATGCTTCCCTGGAGTCTGCCTGGGACCCAGAGTCCGTAGGAAGTGGAGATGTTTCTCTACCCTGAGCAGAGACTGAGGAGGCAGGTTGGGGAGACAAGGACCATCCTAGGCCAGTTTTCTTGTAAGGCCAACCAGTCTAGCTAGGGCGTGGCAACCAGGGACCTGCTGCAGGCCAGCGAGGTACAAGTCCCTGGGGAATCAGGCAGGCTTTGGTGTATGGCCTTGCGTGGGCTTCTTTGTCTTGTTCAGAGATGAGCGTTAAGTACCCTGTGCTTCATTTACACTGGAGTGGAACTAATAGGACTTCTGTGTATATGGAGAATTGTCAATAAAAAGGCCTCAAGCTTCTTCCGTTTTTGTCTTGGTCCTTCCTGTCACCCTCTCTCCCTGAGGCTGGAGAGCTGGATTTCCCCCCAGTGCTGGCTGAGTTTGTACACCTGGGCCATGCCTACAGGACAGGGCTGGAGAGGGTATGGAGGCTGGAGTCTGGGTGTGAGATGGGGGCAGGGGGAGGAAAGCCGTGCCTTGTACAAGTTGGGCTCAGCACATGTTTGTCAGATTGCTTTGAGGCTCTGTCTTGTGACCAAATTGTGGGGGCTGGAGGTTGGTTTGGACCAGAACTTGGTAAATGCTAAGCAATGCAGGCTTTAGAGTGGAAAGATTTTAGCTAATCCCTCTGAGCAAGCAAAAAAGGATCAGCCTTCAGGGAAGCTGAGAGCCAGCCGGAAAGAAGATTGGCTGTGAGATGGGGGTATAAGCAGTTCTCTGAGAACTGGGGTGTGTGGGGTGTTTACTGGGTGCCAGGCACTGTGGTAAGTGCTTTACACACATTTCATTAATCCTCACAATGGCCCTATGAAGCAGGTGCTGTTCTTCCCATTTTACAGGTAAGGAAATGGAGGTCCAGGGAGGTTAAGTAGTGGCCCTGAAAGGCTGGGCATGGCGCTTTGCAGAGCAGGGCTGGATATGAGCCATTATCTTCCAAACGGTAGGCCTGGGGCAGTGAAGAGTGGAGGGCGAGGCCCTGCATGTGCAACTAAGACAGGTACCGGGGTGCCCTTAGCTCGCTGCGGCCTTGGCCTGGTCTAGGTGGGATTCCGCAAAGCCCAGGAACTTCCCCTAGGGCCGGAGAGGTCCTACAGCTGCAGAGGGGAATCTGAGAGGCAGGGAAGCAGCTGGGACCCTGTCTTGGCAGTTTTTACAGATCGGTATGTTCACTTTAAAAACTATTAAAGCAGCCTCAGCAGCCTGGTGGAATAATGAAGATGGAGGAAGAGAAAATACTGCCTTGAGCAAAAGGGGACAGCAGTGATAGTACAGGCCTAGGGAAGAGGCAGCTGAGGCTGCACCCACACTTCTCATGGAGAGCGTGTGTCACAGTAGATCAGTTGGAAGGCTGCCCAGAGATCATCCAGCGTAGTCTCCCATTGCGTAAGTGACATTGCATCCATTTGACAATGCGTGTTCCCCACTGTGTTAGATGGAAATGAGACTTACAGCCTGCATTAGCCAGGGAGTGTCCTGGTGGCAGTAGAGGTAGGCTCTTTCCGTAGGCTGGCTCCATGCTTGGCCCTGCTCTGCCATCAACTGTAGCCATGCGAGTTGCCACGGGGTCATTGTCCCTGTGCCTTTCTGTGCTGATTTCCTTATCTGTGAAATGGGCATGATAGTGACATTGGCCTAAAAGGGCTGCTGTGAAGACTAAATGAGATAGTCCTTGTTAGGTTGGAGTGTAGTGCCTGGCACATAGTAAGCGCTCAGTAAATGCTAGCTTATTACCATCATCCTGGCTATCTTCAGGGAAAGAACAAACAACTCTGCCCTGGATGGCTTAGAACAGCATTTTTTTACAATTAAAAATTTTTTTTTTTTATTACAGAGAACAATCTTAGATTGTTACTCAGGAAAGAATCTCAGTGAGGCCAGAGTGTAGTTGGAATAAGCAGAGTCAGTATTTTATTTTCGGAAATGAAAACAATGCCTAATGTTGGTGAAATGCAGACTGTGAAGCAGCTTGTGGGGCATGGGAAATGGACGTGAGAGGGTTCCCATCATGTGGGGTTGGGAGCCCCATCGAAGGGAAGCTGGGGGGCTACCTCCTTGTCCCCTGGAGGTGCATGTGAGGGCCTCAGTGACAGCAGACTGAGGATGGACAACTTCAAAGGGCAGGTACCATTGGAAAAATGAAACCACGGAGGGATTTACCAAGATTGGATCGTGCCTCACAGTTGGCTGGGTGGGGTGAACGGTGTGAAGAGGATTGAACATGGGGATGGCCTGGAAGACGGATTGTCCATTGCAGAGCTGGGTGCCTGTTTAAAAGATTCCTTCTAGTTCTCAAGCACCCAGGAGGAAGGGGCAGTAGCCGGGTTCAGCTACAGCTCTGGTGCCTGCTGGGGCAGAGCTGGGGTGGCCTGCCAGCTCCCACAGCCTGGCTTGGGTTGAGGATTCTGCCTGTCTTTTCGTGGTTTGGTAGTGGTAGGGAGCAGCCTCCAGTGGCCATGGCAGACCTTGAACTGGCTGCGCTTTCTAGGATCTTTGTGGTCCTTGATCACCTTGCCTTCGGAACTGAAGCCAAATGAAGCTTCATTTTTATTCTCTTGTCTCCACGGAACCTTTGAGGCACCCCTTTTGAGGGGCCCTGACTCCAGCATCTATTCTACATCTGGTGGCCCTAAGATAATGATAATATCTACATTTATTGAGCACTTATGCCAAGCAATAGGTTGAGCCTATTATTTCATTTAAATCTTATGACAGTCCCCAAAGCTAGGTTCTGTTCATCTCACTTAACTGATGCATAAGTGGAGGCCTGAGGAGGTTAAATAACCTGCCCCAGGTCACATAGCTAGTGAGTCGAATTGTGCCCCAGGTACCTATAGATGCCTCATAAAGAAACTTTGGGAGAACATAGCAATACTATCAACCTCCCCACTGTTCTGCCTTGCCCCCACTAGCTCCAGGAGCGTCTGAGCCACTGAGCTAACAGAAGGGGCCTGCCCACCCCCACCCCTGATGAAGTGGGCTCAGCCTGCAGGGGAACAGAGGCAGCCTTGTGGAGCTGCCCCCAACTCCGCCAGCTCTCAGCAACCCCACTCCCCCTCCTTGGCTGGGTTTGTTTCAACACCCAGAGCAGCACATTCCATTCCGTGGCACAGCTGGGGGCTGGGGACTCCGGATTCCCCTGGCTGCCTGCTCTCTTCACGGCCCCAGCAGAGCCTCCTGTCTGGGCTGGGACACTGGGTCCCAGCCACACACATTCCAGCAGCAACCACCCCCCACGTTGGATTTCCCAAGGAATGAACTTTAGCCAGGAATATAGCCAGCTAAACAGTTGTGGGATGTGAGCTTCCTTTGTGGGACCCAAGAGGCTGAATGCTGATGGGGCTGAGGCAGTGGGGGTGGGGTAGGGTGTCGAGGTGGGCCGCTCTGGGAGTTGGGAGAAAAGCCACAGTCTGAGGCTGGCTCTTCTGCTGCTGTCCGGGCTCTTGCACTGGGATCAGAGCAGGGCTCCCAGAAATCTTCCTGTGAGGCAGGGTGGCAGAAGCCTGGCTGCCTGTAACCCCCGGCCTGTCCTCGGCTTTGTCCCCTGCGATTAAGAGCATGGGGTCAAATCTTAGCACCACTACCATGTACCAGCTGTGTGACCTTCAACGAGTTCCTTAACCTCTCCGAGCCTCAGCCACCTTATCCTTAAAATGGGGATAATAATAGTACTTCCCTCAAAGGGCTGTTGGGAGGCTTAAATCAGAATGTTAAACTGCTCTGAATAGTGTCTGCCACCCAGCATGGTCTTGATACTTATTGAACATGGGTATTACATGTCTTGTCCCTTATACTGGCTTACACACCACCTGGGGATGTATTTTTTGAAGTAAAACCCCAAATGTAGTTTCCATGCCCCTTCTGAAAGTAACAATTCTGGCTTTTACATAAGATGTTCCTATCTTTTCCTTGCCTTCCTGTCCGTAGTGGTTTCTTAGTTGATTAACAAGTCAATTAGGGATTTACTGAGCACCTATAATGTGTAGGCACTGTGCTAGGGCAAGGCCTTCGGTTAATAAAAATACTAATTACCATTTAACGAACGTCTAAATGCTGGGCATTGTTTCCAGGAACTTTTCATATGTTTTCCCACTTAACACTCATTTCCCTTGTGAAGTAGACATTATCACTCCATTTTACAGCTGGACCATGTTCCCAGTGTCCTATGGTCACTTAAGTCACAGGATTGGAACCCAGAACTGGGCTTTACTGCCTCTGCTTAGCGGATCCTCAGTGTTCAGCAGCCTACCCCAAATCCTTCCTGTTCTCTATCAGAGCTCTGATTTTGTACCCAGCTAAAACACTTGACTGCTCCCTTTTAACTAGGGGTGGCCATGTGACTGAGTTCTGGCTGGTTAGCTACAAGTGGAAATCTACCAGGTGTGACTTGTTGGGAAATTACTGTTTTCCTGATCAAAAGGGCCAGACGCAGCTGACGCGCTGTTTTTGCCGTTAGCCTTTCCCCGCCTTGCTGCCTGCCTGGAGTGTGGCTGAGAAGTTGGGGGAAGGAGGCACCGTATTGTAACCACAAACACAAAAGCACCCCCTGGCAGAGCAGGAAGAGAGAATGAGTCTGGGACATGGACCTCCTACCTGCCCACCTCCAGACTTCTTGTGTGGAAACCCCACTGTTTTTGGGGGTTTCTGTTCCACGCAGTCAGATGCCATCTTTCACTGATACACAGCCCAGATGCTCGCTGGGCAGCCACCAGCTGCCTGTCTCCAGACCAACCAGGAGGGAGTGTTTTGTGACTGAAGGCAATGAAGGGTGGGGTCAGGCCTTGCAGGGCCTCCCTGGTCTTTAGGAGGATTCTTCTTGGTCCTAAGGAAGAGAGACTGCTCAGGGCGTGACAGCAGATATTGAAGACAGAGCTGGTGTACAGAGCAGGGCCTGACCCCTTTGTTGGGGGTGGGCGAGACGTTTTCCTGGGCTGTGTAAAGGGAGCCTCTCCCTGCCTGCTCCCTCTCGCTGGCTGCCAGCACCTGACAGAGGTCAGTATTGTGCTCCAGCCAGAAGAGGCCCAGTCCTGTGTGTTCAGTGGAAAAATAATCCCTGGTCCTGGTTGACCATAGAAGTGTCCGTAAATATTTGGTCGGGGTAGGAGGCTGGGAGACAAGGGGTGGATTCAGGGAGCCAGGTGGGTTGGGCAGGCTTTGGGTGAGGGTGGGTAGCAGTGGCTTCCTCAGAGGTGAGGAGAAACAAGCAGGCCTCTGCTGCTTCTGACCTATGGCGAGGCCACCTGACAGCCCAGGGATGTGATTTATGGGCAGGCTGTCAGACCACCTGTTAGCTCACACTGGCCCCACGGCAGAATTCAGGCCCTCTGGCCTTTTCGATTTTCTGAGGCAACATGCTCCTCTGAGAGTCATAGGAGCCAAGGTTTTTCTCACCTCAAGGGAATGAGGCTCCATTGTCTTGGAGGAGGAGCAGGGCTTGACTGGACTTGGCATGCTGGCTGTACCCTCGATGGTGAGAAAAGTCCCTCTGGGGGTGTCCACAGCTTCCTGTTCTAGGCACATGTACCCATCCTTCAGTATTTGTTGACAGACTCCCCAGGGACTCGTTCTGGTCACCACCCCTTCCAAATGCTGGACATTTGAGTGGCAGCAGCCTGTTGGCTCCATTTCAAGGCTCATCCCCTCCCTGCCCCATCCAGCTCAAGGGATCAGCCTCCATCTGCTCTGAGCTCATTGAAGAAGCCTCCTCAGGCATTACAGCTGGTCCCTTCCCTGTGTGCAAGACCACCACCTTTCCAGCCTGAGGTAACCTCCTCCTGCCTCAGCTGTGGGCTTATTTAGATGATCTAGACGGAGGTTCTCAACCAGGGCTGCCTGCCACCCAAGAGGGCGTCTAGGAATGCTGATTTCTAAATACCCCCAGAGATTTGGATTTATTGCTTCCATGTGGAGTCCACTGTTTTGTAGAAGCTCCTTAGATGACTGGACAGTTTATGTGTTAAAATGTAGATTCTGACACTGCCAGTCTGGGTGGGGCCTGAGCTTCTGTGTCATGCTGGTGCTCTGGTCCAGGGACCACGCCGAGTACCACTGGTCTGCACTGTCATCTTCTACAGGTCAGGGCCAGTGCCCAGGGGCGTCTGAGTGCTGAAGGGCAGGAGTGACACTTTTACACCTCTGGCTCTTTGCAGTAGTTCCACGGCCCAGCCTTCCTGGGCTCCTCGGAGCAGGATTTGTCCACGTCAGGGAGACGCTGCAGGCCCCTGGGAAAAGGCTGGGGAAACTGGCATCTCTGTCCCTCCTCAAGGACAAAAGGATGGCCATCTCCATCCCTCATTAGTGGTGGGGGTGAGAAGGATGACCCTTGCGGTGTGCTCCTGGGGGTCTTACACTAACACGGGCATCGCTCTTAGGCATTCTGAGTGTGTCTGTGTGGACAGGCCGTGGGTTACGACGAGGGCTTCTCTCTAAAAGTCACTTCTGAACCTCCCTCTCCCTACCTCTGGGGAACTGGCTGACAAAGAAATCGCCTGGTCAAAGCCAACTTATTTACTTTGATTTAATTAAAAACTTAAAAAAAAAAAATTAAAAAAAACAACCCCTACCTGCATCCATCTAGTACCTATGGCCTCGCAGTAGTAGCAATAATTTACTCGTCATCAGGGTAAAAGGACATGCAGGGGGCTGAGAAATGAACCCCGAGAAGTGAGCCTATAAGAGGGGGTCTGGGCTGGGCTGCTGTCCAGTCTAGGGGGAGGGGAACTGGGCAGAGGGATAGCCAGGAGGTGTGGCTGGAGGGTACTGAGACCCTTTAGGGGCTATGAGAGGACACATGAAGGGGCAGTGGGGACAGAGAACTGTCCCCCAACTAGCTAAGCCTAATATATCAAGACTTCCATCTCCAAGGTGAGGCATTGCCACCCGCAGAGGGGAGCTGGCACCACAGCTCACTCCAGAAGCTCCCTGGGCTGTTCAGAGCCCCTCTATCCTTCCTTTGCCCTCTCCTGCTGCTGCCTACTTTCTGAGGCCCTGGAGGTTTCCCCCCAAATGAGAAAGCTTTGCTTCTAAGAAAGCCCCCAGCCACCCCAGAAACCCTTGGTCGAAGGCAGCCCAGGCTCCATGCTCATCCCTTAGGGCTTGTGCTGGTAACCACTTTCCCACAGGGGCCAGGTCAGCCTGGGACTGGGGGCAAGGCCAGGGGGGCAGGAGGTGACAGTGTGCCCCAAGGATGGGAACAGAGGTCAAGGCACGGCTGGCTGGTGGGACAGGGAGGGGTACCCTTCAGTGGGGCTCAGCGGCCCCGTAGAAGAAGGGGTAGTAGAGGGAGCAGGGGTAGGAGAACATGAATTTGACGGCGAACTTCATCTCCTTATTCTTCTTGTCCCAGCGGTAGACGGCCATGAGCAGCAGCTGTCCGTCCACTTTGCGGCCCATGACCAGAAAGCTGCCGGCCAGGCTGTTCAGCTGTGGGCAGGGGCAGCCTGCACCGTTCTTCATGTGCAGCACCAGCCTCTTGGTGTCCTTGCGCTTCAGGGGGCCTGGCTTGAGCAGCTTCTTCTTTTTCTGGGCTCCAATCAGTTTCCGGTCTCCATTCTCTATCTTGATCTCCTTGATGCGCATTTTGACCACTGTATGTCAGGGAGGTGGACAGAGGACAGTGTGAGAATAGTCAGGTTTACTCAAGTCACTGGTGGCCCCACAGCTGGTGCTTGTGCCCAAGGCCCCAAGCCTGGGGCTTGGGGAGGTAAAGTTTATACATGTACATTTAAATATTTATGAAGCTCCTATCATGCGCTGGACTTTCACAGACATTATCACATTTCATCCTGGAGGTAGGATAAGGGTAGGGGGAAATGAGTATTGAAGAGGTTGTGAGCTGCCTGAATTCTAGAGCCTGGATTGAATGGAGGTCTAGCTGACTCCAGAGCCCATGTCTTTCCATGACCAAGTGCAGGGATGGGGAACAGGGGGTTGGGCTCTCCAGGGAGGGAAATATTGGGGGCGGGGCGACCAACTGGAGGCAGGGTTTGGTGGAGAGAGGTCCTTGTGATGGAGGGAGGCTGGACTTCATGATCTCTGGGGATGCTTCTGAATGGGATTTCTGGCTGTGTGTGCGTGTGCATATGTGTATGGTGTGGAACGTACCTGGGGTGGGCATGAGTGTGTGTGTGTGTGTGTGTGTGTGCGCGTGCATACACATGGTGTGAGTGTGGTTGGAGCTGTGGTGGGCTGATGTTTGACAGCCGGCTCGAGGGAACGGGTCTGCTCTGTAGCTTGTGGTTTCCATGGGGTAAATACTCCCACTATGACCTGGCCCATCACTGAGCCCAGGTTGGGAAGTACTGCGCACAACCAGCTCTTGCTGGTGCGAACACACCACTGTAATCTGTGTGAAACTGTGTAGTGTGGGTGTTGGTGGGAGTGTGAGTGTGTGGGGGGCAGTGAGGAGATGTAATTTAAGATCAAGAGTGGTCAGAGACTGGCTGTCCAGGGCACTCCAAGGTGACTGCAGAGAGCATATATAGTTGGGGACAGAAAGTACTGAACTTGGGGGTAGTCACTTGAGCTAGTCTCCCCTTTCTTTAGGCCTCTGGGCCCCTATCTCTGTAAGCGGCCAGCGAGAAGCCAGAGAATAACTTTGTCCCCCAGGAAAGGAAATCGTTATAAAATCTCTTTCCTTCTCTCTTTCTTCCCTTACCTCCTCTCTTTTTCTCTCTTGGACACACACACACCTTGCAACAGTGGTATTCTCTTTTCAAACAGACTACTGACATAACAGACCTGCCGAAGTAAGGATTTCATTGCTCCCTCCCTTTTATAGACAGGGAGGCTAAGGCACAAAACAGAAGCCGACTTGGCAAAGATCACAAACTGGGCTGTGTGGTCCATGCAGGAGCCAGAGCCTGACGAGACTTGGCTCAGCTGCCCCAGGAATGGGGAGGCTCCAGGATGAAGCTGTGGGGCAGGTGACCACAGCTCCCCTGGCCAGAGTGCATTGGGTACTTGGCAGACGTGTCCAGGGACAAGGGGGCTGCACTTCCATCCTGAAGCCTATCTCTCCCCCCACCCCTAGCTGCCCCCATCTATCTTGGAGTTAAGCCTGCTTCCTCCAAAGAGAACCCAGCCCTTGAGGGCCCTCTATGGATAGTGCCAAGGGAGAGCTGCAGGAGCCCTGGACAGGGGTGGTTCTGAGGCTTATGGACCATAGCCTTGAGGGGCTTCTGAAGCCCCTGAGATGATATTAAAAAAGAGGTGCATTTCTCTGGGGAGAGGGTTCGTGGTTATTATCAGAGTCTAAAAGGGGTCCATGAGGCAAAAACAGTGATGGATGTGGGCACGTGTATTCATATGTGTGTGTGTCAAGAAGGAGGGGCTGGGGGTGGCCTCAGGGCAGTAGCCGTATGGACTCTACACTCACCGAAGTCACTGGAGCACATCTGCTCCATGAGGCCGTCAGCGCTGTGCTCCATCTCACACTGGGCGCAGATCTTGGTCACTGACGAGAGAAGCAAGAGTGGGGTCAAGGGAGGCTGGTGAGGGGGTTAGAGTCCAAAGAGCCACTCAGAGTGCAGGCCCTCTGACTGGCAAGCCGCCACCCCCTGCTAAGCCTCCACTTCCTCATCAGAAAATGGGATGATGGTAGTGATAACACCACCTGCTCCCTGAGTAGTTGTGAGGATGAAAAGAGACGCCGTAGTGCGTGCACGATTGCCCACGACCCTGGCAGCTGCAACCTTGACATGCATTTTCTTCTAAATTTTGTTACATTTAATCCTCAGCCTAGGAAGTAGGTATTATTCTTAGTTTAAAGAAAAGGAAACTGAGGCCCAGAGTGGCTACCCAAGTATGCAAGGCTAGTGAGATCTGAGCTTAGAACTCAAGGTTTGTGACCTCCAGGCTAGTGCTGGGGTGGGGGTGTTTGCGGGGTCTTTCTAGGAACACGGGGTCCAGTCAGGTGGATAGACAAGTGATGCTGGCAGGGCAGAGACGGTGGTAGGGGAGCATCACCCCTCCCCTAAAGTGGGCAGCTTAGCCTAGCCAGATCTTACGCTATTTCAAAGCAAGACAAAAAACTTGTACTTTTTGTATGAAATATTCTGAGTTTTGTCTGTTAGCCAGACAAACTCAGGCTGCTTCTGCTTCAGGTCCTGACCTCTGCTCTCCTATGTCTCTGTCTCCAAGCGGGCAGACAAACTCAGGCTGCTTCTGCTTCAGGTCCTGAGGTCACCGCACAGCACCTGACCTCTGCTCTCCTATGTCTCTGTCTCCCCAGACAGAGACACCCCAACATGGCAGAAAGAGGGGCTCAAAGAGGGCAGGAGTGTGAGGGCAGGGGCCGGGTGGGATTCTGAGCCTGGCATTTCCCTGTCTTGCAGGTTGTTAATGGTCGGGCTCTGAGAAACCACAACAGGAACCAGCTGGGATCCCTGCTGGGGACTGAGCTATCTGCTTGAGATGGCTCTCTCTCCCCTGCTTTCCTCATCCCATTTCCACCCTGAGGGTACGGGGAGGGGGGTTCCCTTTTCTCAGCATTTCCCAGTCATAGGACCCCAACCCAACTGAGACTCTCAGGGGAGGGTATGGTGTGTAGGACTGGGTACTGACGTTAGCCCTGGTGGGGAGGCATGCTAGGGTCCAGTTGCATTTTGGGGACCAAGTCATATAAGAAAGAGGGAGAGAGGTGAAGTCCCAGCATGGAGGCTCCTTAGACTCTCCTATTAACTGCCTAGGCAAAGCTTTTCTGTTCAGTGCCACGGTTTATCCTCCTGTCTGGTGCCTGGCCGGGGTTACTCTGCCTAGAAGGAGTTCAGCAGATATCGGGGGAAGGGTGAGGGGGACACACAGTGAAGGGGAGGCTGAGACCAGGGAAGAATTAGGGGAAATGGGACTTGAGGGGTGGGAGGCAGCACATAGGATGTGATAGGTTTCAGGAACTTCAGGACTTGGGGTTGCTTCCTATTTTACAGATAGAGAAACCGGGGTTCAAAGTTAAGCAACTCCCCTAAGGGCAGGGCCTGCCGATCTGCTCTTTCTTTTGTACTGAGCTTCGCCCAAAGGTCTCTTAGCCAGTGGGATAGGGGAAGAGACTGGGAGAATTTAGGGTTCCCAGGTACAGAAAACAGGGGGGATGGATACCGTAGCCCAGGAGTGCACTTAGCCCCCAGTCTTTCATTATATCCCTTCAGCTCTCCTTCCCTCCCGAGGTCCCAGCACGGGTGAGGATGCTTGCCGTGGTGCCTCGAGTTGTGGGGGAGGCAAAAGGCATTGTTTAGCGACTCCGGGACAGTCTTGGGCTGAGAGAGGCAGTAGGGCATTTATGTGGATGCCGCCCCAAGATGGGGGGACAATATTGGGGCCACCCCAGCGGCTCCAGCGGCTTGGGAAGGCAGGCGCTGCAAAGGAAGCCAGGAGAGTTTTCAGGAACGGAGTGGGAACAGGGAGAACCAGTGGGAATATGTAGAGCTACAGGGAGGCACTATTCTGGCAGTCCACGGGGAGGTGGGAACCCCTGAAGAATGTGGGAGACAATCCCCGGGCGCTCAGGGCTGAGCGAGGGAGGGCTGTTTGTGTGTACAGGGGGCGATACCTCTGGGGGACTCATAGAGCTCTGCTAAGGGGTTGGGGGAGCAACATCCAGCCGGACCCAGTTCGCGGGCACCCAGGGCCATTGGAGGGCGCGGGGGCGGCGGTGGCGGCGCTACCTGGAGGCGCAGTGGCGGGCAGGTGCCCGAACTGCACAGCGATGCAGAGGTCGTTGTCCAGGGGGAACTTGTGGCAGTGCAGCATCTCGGGCCAGGGGAAGCCGTAGGCCTCCATGAGCGGCGCGCAGCCGGCGCGCACGGCCTCGCACAGCGAGCGGCACGGGTAGATGGGCTGGTCGAGGCAGACGGGCGCGAAGAGCGAGCAGAGGAAGACCTGCGTGTCCGAGTGGCAGCGCTTGGCCAGCAGCGGCAGCCAGCTGCTCGCCTGCTGCTTCACCTCGGCCAGGCTCTCGTGCTCCAGCAGGTTGGGCAGCCGCATGCGCTTGTAGCCCACCGTGTGGCAGAGCGGCAGGTCGGCGGGGATGTCGAGGCACTGCGGCGGCTTGGAGTACGAGCGCCCGTGCAGCGGCTGGGTCTGCCACCCATAGTAGTCCTGGCCGCGC